TGTCATCACCACGTCAGTTATGTCATGCCCAAAGTCATGTCCACTAATCTAGCTTTGATTCCGAAAAATAAAAAAAAACTGCAAAATTATGTCCTTTTAGTGGAATTTCCATAATCTAGTGTCCTACACAGAAAATGAATCAAAACGAACAAATAAGCCACAAAAACTAACGATTAAGGAGCAATTTTAAATAAAAATATTAACCAAATAAAGAACATATCAGAAAGTATGAAAATTTGCATGAGCGCTAACATTTTGAAGAAAGGACAGAGAAAGGCTGTTAATTTTATGTTATACTGGTTTAACAATTTTAGGCGATACAATTGGTATCTCCACCTTCTTAGCAAAATTACAATGCTACCGATGAAAACATCTTTATTGAATCAAGAAAAATAAGATTCCATGTTAAATAAGGCACATATTGTCACAAAGGTTTAGAGAAACAAAGAAGAGTTTAAGTTTACGAGCATAACGAATTTGAAAATAAAAAGAGAGTATGATTCACCACAATGATAAATAACCAAAAAGATATAATTACCATTGATATTAAGATTGAATTGTGCATGATATTACTAATGATGATACAATATACTAAATAGTAATCCCTTTTTATTAAAATATATTGTGCTTATTATTTATTTTTATTAATTATTGCTATTTTAGTAAAAAAATAAAAATAAAAGGGTATTATTTTACCTTAGTTTTTGTGTCCTACATAATTTAAGAGATTTAGACAATGTAGATAGTACTTCCTCCATGTCGAATAACTATGGTATTGAAATGAAGCAAAATAAGGTCTCGTGTTGAACAAGGCCAACATTGGCATAAAGGTTTGGAGAAACAAAGAAGAGTTCAAGTTCGTAGGAATCAAGATTGAGTTGTACATAATATTCATGGTGATATAATATAACAAATAATATTCCTTTTTTTTACTAAAATGTATTTTGAAATTACAAAAAACGATAATTTTATTTATTTTTCATTATTTATCGCTATTTAAGTAATTTTATCAACTGTCTAATTAATGTGTGACACCACGTATGTAAGACGTTTTATATTCAAAACTTATCCTAAAAGAAAAAAACAAAATGAGTTGTTTTAACTTAATTTCATGTAATATAAATTAAATTATATGTATAACATTACAAGATTTAAAATGGAATATGAAATTTAGCATTCAAATCTTTGCACGAATTGAAAACACACCTAATCATAATGGTTGCATGAATAGATTGATCCGCGACTAATTGGTTGCTCAAACTCAGATTGTGTTCTTTGTTCTTTCGCTTTCAATTGCCTCGTACTATGATGGTAGAGCTTGAGCTAATGCTTTCTTTATTTGATGTAGAACGGACGCTTTCCTTTCCACCAGTTCTGGCACCACGAAAAGAGTATTTGCTTTACTCGGACAAAATACAAGTTGAATCTGACTAACACTAAGGAATTTGAGTAGTGCCTCTTTAAGAAAACAATACCACATAAAGTAGTGCCTTCAAAATTGTGTACTTTGCAACCAAATCAACAATACCATAGCCAGAAACAACATTATAATAGACTCAACTTACACTTGGACCCACCTCAAACTTATTTGTAATACCTCACCACTCCTGCCCGAACCTACCAGCAATCACACGATTGAACAAGGAAAAAGAAAATAAATTATCAATCATTATCAAGCTTGTAACCCCCTCAGACTGATGCGGGTGGCCTGATCCGATCCGGGGTGTTACATTAGGACCACCAAAGTGACCCACCGTAAAAATAGCGGAAAATTAAACTTTTTGGTAAAACGATTAAAATCATAAAACAATTTATAAATACAAAAGTAAAATTTATCAATATTCAGAAATAACATATATCTGACTCAGATTTAAAAACAAAATACTAGCTACATGCCCCCTAATCACATACAGCGTACTCCTCAAGCAACGCCGATGGAACTCCCCTACTGAAGTTGATAGTTGCACTAGTATGATTCTTTTAACCTAAAATGGTGAGTAACATATTGTGATCTTTTTGAAGCTCAGTAATACAATACTACTAGTTAGTGCTATAGGACATTTATATAAATGGAAAGCCATAAAATTTCTTTATTTAAAACAGAAATATACAGGTTTTTGGGATAAGTTGGGGTTTCACGGGTAGTTCATCGAGTAGAAGCCATGAAGATCTCAATTCATAGGAAACATTCATAGTATCAAATTTTCAAGAGATCGAATAGGATGTCTAGTGTGTTCCAATCAAAACCAGTGAAAAGATATAAATCTTTTAAACCATAGTGAAACCCTCCAACCAAACTCCATTATGCAGTTCCCCAGAACTGCATCCATAAGGGCTTACCCTAAGCACACTGCAAAGGGAGCCAACCTAACTGTATGTCTTGGGCTCTATGGGCATACCCAAGGGTATCCTCAGGTCCGTAAGGATTTACCAGCTGGATCAGGGCTGAACCTCCATACTCCAGAATCCTACCTATATAAAAAATCCAGTAAAAATCAGTTTTAACCGTAAATCATAATATATGGATTGTGATCCAGAAAAATGTCGGATGAAATAGCCAAGATGGGGTGAATTGGCAAATGAAATTTTGGTGGAAGTTTGACAGAAAATAAAAATATTTGCACAGCGATTTAGAGTGGTTCAACTTTCTCAACCAAAGTCTACGTCCACTATCTTAGCTATCCACACTAAGGATTTTCCGCGATTTCACTATTTGTCTTTCTTTTGAGGATAAAGAGTAACCTTAAAACTCTCTCAAGAATTATATCACAAATTCTTGAGACACTCTCTCTCAAAGAGAAAATTAAAAATTTCACAAACTTAGAATAAAAACCTCATAAGGTAAGATTATTTGCACAATTCTAGAACAAAGAAAGAACACTAAAAACTGAATACGATTGAGCACAAATTGTGTTATTGAAAGAAAAATGAATATTGAGTGGATGTTGGCTTGAATTGCTCAAACTTGATGTTTAAGGCTTTCTCTTTTGTTTCTCTAGATTCTCTTATTCACCAAGGAATAAGAAAACTCAAAAAATAAAAATGAGTTCTTTTAACTTAATTTCATGTAATATAAATTAAATTATATATATAACATTACAAGATTTAAAATGGAATATGAAATTTAGCATTTAAATCTTTGCACGAATTGAAAACACACCTAATCATAATGGTTGGATGAATAGATTGATCCACGACTAATTGGTTACTCAAACTTTGATTGTGTTCTTCATTCGATGTAGAACAGATGCTTTGCTTTCCTCCAGTTCTGGCACCACGAAAAGAATATTTGCTTTACTAGGACAAAACACAACCTGAATCTGACTAACACTAAGGAATTTGAGTGATCGTATATCGATCAGTAAGGGATACACATTATCTAAAATTATCCCTACGTCTTCAAAATCACATCCATAACAAAAAAAAACCCGATAGAAAAGAAAAAGAGATTGATAAAGCTACATGAAAATCATAAGGAGAAGAAGAAAAGACTAATTAAAGGCAATAATAATAATTATAATAATAATAATAATAATAATAATTATTATTATTATTAACTACATTGCGAGAATATTTATTACACTTACAAAGGATATGATAGTGATTTATTAGTTGAATAGATTTTAAGATAATGAAAAATTTGGGGAAGAAAGGCATTGACAATAGTGATCAGGACCACAAACACACTTGGGGCAGCCAAAATAAGCTGCACAATTAGTTTGACAAGGCACATCACTATCGCAAGGCCAATGAGCGATAGGTCCCCTTCCCTCTGCCACCATCTTTGAATCTACAACCAAATTTTATTGTATTAGATTACAAAAATCAGGTAACATTATATATATAAAAAAAGAGTTGAATAGGAAAACGAACTAACTAGTTACAAAGAAGATTATGACAACAAAAATAATCAAAGTCAATGAAAACTTCCCCATCTCTGTATATCTAATAGACTACGTTGGTTCAAATGCTTAACATATAGCTCTGTATTGTATATATAATATTCAATTTGGCCTTGCATGGAATAATATTAATGTATGCTAAAAAAGGAAAGTGACTCTGGCTGAAGAAGAATGATAATATTTATGTTGATTTTCTCTTATTTTGTTTACTATATTTATGGAAAGAATGTGCTACAAAGATATAATGAAAGATGCCAATAAATGTTGGAAATTGGTTTTATAAAACATGGTTTAATGGAAATTTTGTTGACTAAAAATTAAGAGTTGTGATATACACGGTTGACTATGTTACATCTATCATTTTCAAGTTGATTATCGCATTTGTAAAATTAACGACCACATAAATATAATAGCGATCAATGACATAAACTATAAATCAAATGACTTAATCTATGAAATTTACTATATTAACGGCTCAATTTAGTACAAAAAATAGCGTCTTAAATGATTTTTTTCACTAAAAATTGAGGGCTTAAACCATTTGTTATTGGAGTTTGTATTATATTATATGTAATTTAACATGAATAAAGAAGTGTTTCAAGTTTGGCTTACAGATACAATAATGACTTAATCTCGGTGTAATGTATAAGATTACACTAACAATTTCGTGGAAAATGTTGAATTGCTTCCTATTGGGTTCGTTACTTGTTATTTTGCCTGCCAAAGGCCCAAAACCATTGCTTTGTCACACGCTTTCTTTCAATTCTTGCTAGTAACAGAACAGAAGAAATATAACTTAGTTATATTCTTCAATTCAAAATTTCATATTCATATTTGATTTATGTATGCATGTACGTATGAATTATACAATTCTATGGCTCCATAATGTTAATGATTTGACAAAGTTTGTGATTCTAAAGTCTGAGTATCCTTCTAGTGCACAGAGAGAATCACTACATCACCACTGAAATATATCTAATAATCTGTAGTACGATTTTTTTTTTGATAAATCCCAAGAATAATATAGACCTTTCAACGATAAACTGAACAACATTAGGAAGAAATCATACAATGCATTGTTAACTTGGAATGACTTACCACATCTTTAGCTCTCAGTTTCCTTTCCCAAGCATTCATAGCATAAGGATCATTAACGAAAACACAAATTACAGAGTCGATTTCTTTAGCCTTGAACTTATCAATGTTCTTCATGTAACTAGGAACGTGCTGTTGTGAACAAACACCTACGTATGCTCCCTATACACAATCCCAAATACAGAATAAATCCAAGTTTTCATCGAATTCCCATTCCAGACAATAACGTCAGAAATAGCAAACTAAACAGATCTACACTCCAGTTTCCTTTTTGATTTTTTGCTTGATTTTTTTAACCGAGTTTGAACTTTGCTCTTTAAAATACGAAAATCATGCACCTTATATAATCCAGACTTTGACCTTAATCTGATGGTATGCCTCTAATCTATTGTTCTTGTTGCACTGAAAACTTGAATCATTCTTTTGTATCTTACGGTTATGTGAGCTATTTTCATAGGAAAATTTTCTTTCATGGGTCCAATAATAGGTTTGGTATCTACTGTGATAGATTTTTGGTAACGATTTTGTAGTGTCTTTGACAAGTTAGTTGAAGGTCTATGGATAATCTTTACTGAAGCTGCAATATAACCTAGACTTTTGATTATCATAATCGAGTTGGACACTTTCATCAGATACATATTTGGACATGAACATTGGATCGTGATTATCCAAACATATTTGGACACTCAATCCGAATTTCGGGTAACTCAAAATATGTCAACCACTAATCCAAATGCAAGGGTTCATCTAGGGATGAAGAATTTTCTTTAGGGGAGATCTTTTTTAAAACCTTAAACATGACCTCTTTTTCGCAAACAAATCGATAAAATCGTGTGGAAAGCCTCGTCTGAAGGGTTGTACTGTCCAAAGCTCTTTTATGATATGTCCCAATCATTTCTGCAAGCTTATTTGGGTTAACCTTGCCCCACCTAAATTGAATCCTTCGTATGGAAAGCTGTCCATGGCCGAATCCCTAGCTCTGTTGAACTCGCAAAGCGTGGTGTTGTTGCGAGTGTAAACTCCCTCTGTATTTTCTATTCCAAAGAGGCCGAATCGATAAGTCACCTTCTCTTGCACTGCCTCTTTTCATGGAATATTTGGTCTTAGTGGTGCAGGTATGGGATTTCTTATTAGTGATGCCAAGGAATTTCAATTCCTTCATATCCGTTTGGATGAATTTTCCTGTCAAGCCTTCTTTGAAACCGGTTTGGTCTCTAGCTCTTTTATGTTTCCTCTGAACAATTTAGCTGTGCTAGAAGGAAACAATTTTTAATAGTAAAAAGTTCACAGCTGATCACGTTTTGGACCTCGCTCTTATGCGGATCGATTTTTCGGTAAAAAGTAAATGGCCCCGTTCATGCCTTTCTGTGTTAGATTTCACTCGAAACCCTCAAGATGTTCGAATTCTTAAAACTCCCTCTCGTAAATCTGCTCATTTTTAATGGATTGCTCTGTTTGTCTCTGCCAAGCATTTTTTGTATATGGTGTTGCAGCTTCTCTGGTTGAAGGTGTCGAGTATTCTTTTTGTTCTAATCGGATGCTCTCAGCTGTATCATCGAAGTGACATATTTTCTGGTTTTGTGCATGGTATTGCCTGTCTCAAGGCTTTTCGCAGGATTTCTTTCTTTTTCCTGCTTTTCTGTTGTACTTCGCAATGGACATTTTCAGGTGTTATTTTTTGTGGTAATTAATAATATGGATACCCTTTTTCCCTTATAAGTTTAAAAATATTAGATGGAATTGTTCACACTTATGTTGCACGTGTATGGCAACCTAATGTCGTTTCAAGTACCTACTACGTCCCCAAGATTGTTACGTGATGTGTACATCTTGGGTACATAGCTGGAACATCCCATGTTGAAAGCGTACGACTAGAATTAGTTGAGTACGTTGGAGGGATTTTCGGGGACGACGCTTAAAGTTCACACACATACCCAAGTTATTTTTTATATTTAACTTAAAAAATAATAATGATAATTTTGAATAAGAAATTGAAGTTGATTTTGAATAAGAAATTTTGAATTTAAAGATTAATATATTAGATGGGATTGTTAAAAAATTAGGTGATGTGAGACATGTTTCAAATTTGAGAAGAAATCTAATTTTGATAGCACTTAGTATTAAAAAGGGTACAAATAATCTAGTGAAAGTGAAGTATGAAAATTTGCAAGAGCGCTAACATTTTGATGAAAGGACAGAGAAAGGCTTCTAATTTTATGTTCTACATGTTTAACAATTTTAGGCGATATCGTTGGTATCTCCACCTTCTTGGCAAAATTACGATGCTACTGATGACACATCTTTATTGAATCAAGAAAAATAAGATTTCATGTTAAATAAGGCATATATTGTCATAAAAGTTCAGAGAAACAAAGAAGAGTTTAAGTTCACGAGCATAGTGAATTTGAAAATAAAAAGAGAGTATGATTCACCACAAGGACAAATGACCAAAAAGATATAATCACCATTGATAATAAGATTGAATTGTGCATGATATTACTAATGATGATACAATATACCAAATAATAATTCTTTTTTACTAAAATATATTGTTCTTATTATTATTTTTATTAATTGTTACTATTTTAATAATTTTTCCAAATGTCCAATTAATGTGCGACACCACGTAAGTAAGACTTTTACACTGAAAACTTAAGAGATTTAGATGATGTCGCTAGTACTTCCTCCTTTGTGTCAAATAATAATGCTATTGATGAAAGCGTCTTATTTGAATGAAGCAAAATAAGGTCTCGTGTTGAACAAGGCCAACATTGGCATAAAGGTTTGGAGAAACAAATAAGAGTTCAAGTTCGTAGGAATCAAGATTTGAGTTGTACATAATATTCATGGTGGTATAATATAACAAATAATTTTTACTAAAATGTATTTTGAAATTACAAAAAGAAAAAATAACTTCAGTAACCGAAAATGCCTTATAATATGTGATTTTAACCAACTTTTTTTTGGATTTGTAAGAATAACCAACAAATTCGCAACGCGAACTCCTATTTTGCAACACAGTTTCCAAATTTGCAACTCGGACATGGAAATTTTCGCAACGCTAATTACCGATATAGGTAAACACAACTATTCGCAATGGAATTTCATTTTCACAATGCGAATTTCACAAATCAAATTCGCCAATTTCGAAACTCAATTACTTATATAGGTAAAAACGGTAGAAAAAATTGGGTAAAAAATATGAATTCGACCATTTGAAAACTGAGTTGTAAATTTGGAAAATTCGTGTTGCGAAATGTAAAATCTCGCCTCTTAAAGAAAAAATTAAAGGACATAAAATGCACTGGAGTGGTTTTCAAACTGGGACATCCCAGTTGCTAAGTCCACGTATGAATCACTCAGCTAAACCTACGACTGTAAATGAATTGACCAAACACGAACGAGGGTATGTTCATGTTCGTTCGTTCGTTCGTTTAACTTTAACCAAACAAACGAACTGTCGAAATGCTTTTTTCTTTAAGAGGCGATATTTTACAATTCGCAACAAGATTTTGTCAAAATCGCAACTCAGTTTTCAAATTGGCGAATTCGGATTTTTGACCGGATTTTTTCTACCGTGTTTATCTATATCACTAATTGAGTTGTGAAATTAGCAAATTCGATTTGCAAAATTCGCGTTGCGAAAATGAGATTCACGTTGCAAATAGTTGTGTTTACCTATATTGGTAATTAGCCTTGCAAAAAAGAAATTCGCATTGTGAATCACTCAGCTAAACCTATGCCTGTAAATGAATTGAACAAACACGAACGAGGGTATGTTTATGTTTGTTTGTTCGTTCGTTCGTTCGTTCATTTAACTTTAACCAAACAAACGAACTGTTGAAATGATTTTTTCTTTAAGAGGCGAGATTTTACATTTCGCAACACGAATTTGCCAAATTCGCAACTCAGTTTTCAAATTGGCGAATTCGGATTTTTGATCGGATTTTTTCTACCGTGTTTACCTATATCGCTAATTGAGTTGCAAAATTGGCGAATTCTATTTGCGAAATTTGCGTTGCGAAAATGAAATTCGCGTTGCGAAAATTTTCATGTTTGAGTTGCGAATTTGGAAACTGTGTTGCGAAATAGGAGTTGGCGTTACGAATTTGTTAGTTGTTTATGCGAATCCAAAAAAAGTTGGTTAAAATCATATATTATAAGTCATTTTCGGTCACTGAAGTTATTTTCTCTTACAAAATGATAATTTTATTTATTTTTCATTATTTATCGTATTTAAGTAATTTTTTCAAGTGTCTAATTAATGTGTGACACCACGTAAGTAAGATGTTTTATATTCAAAACTTATCCTAAAAGTAAAAAATAAAAATGAGTTCTTTTACCTTAATTTCATGTAATTAAAATTAAATTAAATTATATATATATATATAACACCAAACTTACGCAGAGCATGGTAACCAAACTTGAACAAGACATAAGCTGTTACAAAAAAGCAAAACAAAGAGATTACCTCTTCAACAAAACAATACATCAAAAGTACCTTCAAAACTGAGTACTTTGCAACCAAATAACCAACACCATAGCCAGAAATAACATCACAATAGACTATGGGTGAGAGAGGGGGTTAGTAATCTAAAACAAAGCAACTTTAGAGGTAGAGTCCACCACCAAGCACTTCATCTCCCCAAAACCATCTTCTTCGACAGTGGATAATGCTAACTTTATTACAAGGACATCGGAACCATCAACAATATTGGAAATCCCGGGAAAGAGAAAACCGCCCTTACCACACTAGACAGAGATTTGAGAACCCCACCACACCCACTCAATCCCACATTAACAACGCTAGACACTGCAAGACCCATATGTCTCCCCCTGAAAGATGCCTGCAACAAGAAGATACAGAAGAAGGAATAATGTAGAAACTTGGATCAGTTCATCACGCCTCCTCGTTAATGAGAATGTTACCTTTGATCACCTTCAACCAAATCAAAGCATGAATCTTTGTAAAAACAACAAATCCTCCACAGAGTTGCATTTGTCCTAAAACAGAAATTGAGGACATGGTGACTACTCTTACATATGGGAAAGAGACTATCAACGTTGAGGAGATTAATGTAGCCTTGTTGGCTCACAACCAGCGGAAGCAGAATACAGGGGAAATTTCTCAAGCAGATATCTTATATGTCAAGGGTAATCGAGACCGTGGACGGAAGCCAGAGAAGGCAGGGTTTAGCAAGCAGAATTCCATATCCAAATCTAGGGATAAGAAGACAATTCACTGTTACAAGTGCAAAGAGGTGGGACATATGAAGCGAGACTGTCCGAAGTTGAAAAAAAAGACTGATGAGAAGCATGATGATTCATCCTAGTCTGTGAATGTGGTCGAGGATGACAATTCTGATTGCAATGAGGGTGATATGCTCTCTATTTCAACGACTCAATTGACGGATGTTTGGATTTTTGATTTTTGGATGTTCTTATCACATCACGCCAAATAGGGAATGGTTTTTGACATACAGGTCGGTTAATTCTGGTTCTGTTTATTTGGATGATGATTGATGTTGCTTTATTGTTAGTATTGGTGAGGTCAGAATTAAGATGTATAATGGCTCTGTTCAGACGTTGAGTGGTGTTCGACATATCCCAGATTTGAAGAAGAATTTGATTTATTTGGGCACTTTGCACAAGAATGGTTTTATCCCTAAGGCTGACGAGGATAGGGAAACCATTCGGATTGTTAAAGGAGCTTTGACTGTGATGAAAGTAAAGATGACTGTAGGGAATATTTACAGATTATTAGGGAGTATCGTTGTAGGTGGAGTTCATTCTGTTGAGTCCTGTGATGATACTACCAAACTGTGGCATATGCGTCTTGCTCATCTTAGTGAACGTGGTATGGCTGAATTACATAAAAGAAATCTGTTGCATGGTGTTAAAAGTTGTAAGCTCGATTTTTGCAAGTATTGTGTTCTTGGTAAACAGACTAAAGTTCGTTTCAAGACTGCGAAGCACACAACTGAAGGGATTCTTGATTATGTGCATTCTAATGTATGGGGACCTTCCACGATATCGTCTTTGGGTTGATTTAGGTACTATGTTACTTTATTGATGATTTTTCATTGAAAGTTTGGATGTATTTTTTGAAATAGAAGTCCAACGTTTTTGAGAAGTTCAAGCTGTGGAAAGCTGAGGTAGAAAACCAAACAGGAAAAAAAATCAAGTGTTTGTGGTCTGACAATGGTACGGAGTACACAGATACACAGTTTCTAAACTTCTGTAAGGAGCACAGGATTAAGAGGCATTTTACAGTGCGCAAGACACCACAACAGAAGAATGGTGTTGATGAACAGGTCATTGAATGAAAGAGCCAGATGTTTACGGTTGAATATGGGGCTTCCCAAACACTTCTAGGCTAATGCTGTTAACATGGAGTGTTATCTTATCAATAGATCACCAAAGGCACCATTGGCTGGGAAAGTTACAGAAGAGGTATGGACTGGTCATGAAGTTAGTTTTTATCACTTACGGATTTTTTGTTGTCCTGCTTATGTGCATGTACCTGCTGGTGAGAGATCCAAACTTGATGCAAAATCGAAAGAGTGCATTTTTCTGGGTTACAAGAAATGTGTCAAAGGATTCAAGTTCTGAGATCCAGTTGCGATGAAATTGTGATCAGTAGAGATGTTGCTTTTGATGAACAGTCTATGTTGCAGCAGAAGGCAGAAACGACAGTGTTAGATTTTGAGCAGTTTCCAGTTGAGAAAATAGAAACTTCTCAACCGACTTCTGGTGGTTATGCTACAGATGATTTGCAGGATTATAGTCTCGCTAGAGACAGGGTGAGAAGGACGAATATAAAGCCTCCGAACAGATTGGGTTTTGAAGACTTGGTCTCTTTTGCACTTACTGTTAGTAGTGATGATCCGGTTACTTTTCATGAAGCAGTTACTAGTCAGGAAAACGACAAATGGATGGCTTCCATGGTTGAGGAGATGAAGTCTTTGAATCACAATCGTACATGGGAGTTAGTTCCCCTTCCTGAGGGTAAGAAGTTGATTGGTTGCAAATGGGTGTATAAGAAGAAACCAGTAGTAACAGAAAAAGAGGGGGAGAAGTTCAAGACTCGCTTGGTAGCAAAGGGTTTTCACAGCTGAAAGGAGTTAATTATGATGAAATTTTTTCTCCTGTGGTCAGGCACACTTCAATCCGAGCAGTACTTGCATTGGTGGCTAGTTGGGATTTGCATTTAGAGTAGGTGGATGTTAAAACTGCTTTTTTGTATGGTGATTTAGAGGAGTAGATCTACATGCAGCAGCCTAAAGGTTTCACTCAACCTGGAAATGAGCATTTAGTTTGCAGATTGAAGAAATCTTTATATGGGTTAAAACAGTCTCCGAGACAGTGGTATAAACAGTTTGACTCCTATATGATTACGATTAGCTACAACCGGTGTGAATATGATTGTTGTGTCTATGTTAAGAGCCTTGATGGTGGTTATTTTATTTTTCTGTTACTGTATGTTGATGATATGTTGATTGTTGCGAAGAACATGGATGATGTTATCGATTTGAAAACCTTATTGAGTCAGGAATTTGATATGAAAGATTTAGGTGCTGCAAAGAAAATTCTTAGAATAGAAATTTATAGGGAGAGAGACTGAAGGAAATTGTGGCTATCTCAACGGGGTTATGTTGAGAAAATGCTAGAAAGGTTTGCGATGAGCAGCACAAAACCAGTTAGCACTCCATCAGCGAACCACTTTAAGCTCTCATCAGAACAATGCCCTATGATAGATAAGGAAGCTAAAGATATGGAGAAGGTTTCGTATTCTAATGTTGTTGGCTGCTTGATGTATGCAATGGTATGTACTCGTCCTGATTTAGCTCATGTTGTTAGTCAAGTTTGTAAGTACATGTCAAACTTGGTAAGCAACATTTGGAAGCAGTCAAGTGGATCTTTCGATATTTAAAGGGTACTATGGGAAATGGAATTATTTTTGGTAGTCGGAGGGATAATCCTTTGGTTGTAGGATATGTGGATTCAGACTATGCAGGTGACTTAGATAATAGAAGATCTACGACAGGGTATGTTTTTACTCTTGGTGGAGGACCTATTTGTTGGAAGTCTACTGTTCAATCTGTTGTGGCACTATCTACATTTGAAGATGAATACATGGCAGCGGCTGAAGCTGCAAAAGAAGCTTTATGGCTCACTGGTTTAGTGAAGGAGTTGGTTGTTCAGCAAGGTGGAGTTCAGTTGCTTTGCGACAATCAAAGTGCTATTCACTTGGCTATCAGGTATATCGTGCTAGAACTAAGCATATTGATGTACGTTTTCAAAAGATTAGAGAGTTGGTTGCATATAGAGAGGTTTTGTTTCAGAAGGTACATACTGATGAGAATGCCGCTGATATGCTCACCATGCCAGTTACGACAGACAAGTTCAAGCTTGTTTGGACTTATTGAATGTTTCAAGTTGTTAAAGAAGTAAGGTAACCCAACCCACATTGAATGTTTTCTAAGGGGCAGGATATATGATACATGGTTAATTTTGTAATTATATACCAGGGTTTTCTATTATAAATAGAGATGTAACCTAAACCTATGAGATATTGAATAAAAAATTTCTAGCGCCGCCTAGGCACCGAGGACGTAAGCACATTGCCGAACCTCGTTAAAATTAACGACCACATAAATAAAATGGCGATCAATGACATAAACTGTAAATCAAATGACTTAATCTATGAAATTTACTATATTAATGGCTCAATTTAGTACAAAAAATAGTGTCTTAATTGATTTTTTTCACTAAAAATTGAGGGCTTAAACCATTTGTTATTGGAGTTTGTATTATATTATATGTAATTTAACATGAAAAAATAAGTGTTTAAAGTTTGGCTCACAGACACAATAATTCACTTAAACGGAAAAAGTCAAGGGGAAATGCTGAAATCTTAGCAACATAGCATCCAGTTCAGATCGTGTTAATCTCGGTGTAATGTATAAGATTACACTAACAATTTCGTGGAAAATGTTGAATTGCTTCCTATTGGGTTCGTTACTTGTTATTTTGCCTGCCAAAGGCCCAAAACCATTGCTTTGTCACACGCTTTCTTTCAATTCTTGCTAGTAACAGAACAGAAGAAATATAACTTATTTATATTCTTCAATTCAAAATTTCATATTCATATTTGATTTATGTATGCATGTACGTACGAATTACACAATTCTATGGCTCCATAATGTTAAATATTTGACAAAGTTTGTGATTCTAAAGACTGAGTATCCTTCTAGTGCACAGAGATAATCACTACATCACCACTGAAAGATATCTAATAATCTGTAGTACAATTTTTTTTTTTGATAAATCCCAAGAATAATATAGACCTTTCAACGATAAACTAAACAACATAAGGAAGAAATCATACAATACATTGTTAACTTGGAATGACTTACCACATCTGTAGCTCTCAGTTTCCTTTCCCTAGCATTCATATCATATGGACATTAACGGAAAAAAAAATTACAGAGTTGATTCCTTTAGCCTTGAACTTATCAATGTTCTTCATGTATCTAGGCACGTGCTGTTGTGAACAAACACCTACGTATGCTCCCTATACACAATCCCAAATACAGTATAAATCCAAGTTTTCATCGAATTCTCATTCCAGACAATAACATCATAACAAACTAAACATATCTACACTCCACTTTCCTTTTTAATTTTTTGCTTGATTTGTTAAACCGAGTTTGAACTTTGCTCCTTAAAATACGAAAATCATGCACCTTATTAAGAAAATTTTCTTTCATGGGTCCAATAATAGGTTTGGGATATACAGTAATAGATTTTTGGTAACGATTTTGTTGTGTCTTTGACAAGTTAGTTGAAAGTCTATGGACAATCTTTACTGAAGGTGCAATGTTATTTTTATGACTTGCTCGTAAATTAAAAGCTTTTGGAGGCAAAATGATGTGGATGGAGGGTCTAATTTATATCATGAAGATGTGTGTTAAAAGCATTCTATGAGAATATAAACAGTTGGTAGAACTCTTGGTGGGTGAA